GCTATGTTGCAAGCATAGTCTGTAGTCGCTCAGAGTACTGTTCTTTTTTTTCAACCTCAGAAGAAAGAAAGGCGAATGACTGACTCGACCGGTGCTTCAACTCGATTTTGAACCTCTCAGTTTTGACCAGCCAGCAAGTGACCGACCAACTGTTGCTAACAACGTGTGCAATAGACTTATGATTGTGGGTTTTAAAGTCCCTACAAAGACAGAGGTTACGAGAACGCCGTACCCGTCGCGACCGTCAACCTGAGCATACTGTATGATGTCATAGGATGCAAATGGTGGATCAGTTGAAACAATTTCGAGCACTCCTGAAGTAAGCTGTTACATAGATCTGGTCCAAGCATATTTCGAAAAGCTGTATTATATGTGGAAAAATCGAAATGTAATAACTACTGCTAATATCATAAAAGACGTCGATGCGTTTTCTAGCAAACTGCTAGTTATTCATAGCGCCAAGGCCAAAGGTGTCGGAACAGGTTTTCGTTCCACCCTACCTATGATGCAGTTTTGCACGTATGCACTGCAGGTGGTAAATGGAGTTCCTTTAGCTACTAGAAGCAAAGGAGCCATTCATCGTGGACTATGCTGTGTAAATTAGTAAAGTTAACAGGAGACTGCAACACGGAGATGGTTGTGGTAAAAGCAGGGTTTTCCGCGGTGCTGATGTGCAGTGTCCTGAAGTGCTACGAGTTCGTGTAGACATCTTTAAACAAAAGACAACTTCCGGCTGTCTGCGCAATATCGTGAAAGTGCGATGGTACACCGAATCACGCACGACCGAACATTTGTAGATGGATCGCCACTGGTCTGAGAAAGCTACCAGACGAGACAACGAGCGGCACCAGTTTCTGTTTCAGAAAATGTTCCTGAATAATCTCAGGACGGATTTGTTTTTTTTCAACATCAGACTTTCAAATGGCAGTCACTTAGTAGGTGTAAGTGCACGAGAAGACAACTCACGTAATGTCAGACATTTGTTTGCGATATGAACTGAGGAATACGACCGTCGCTGCAGCAGTGAAAACTTTTCTAATATTAATCTGAAGTGGATTTTTAATAGTCAGACGTAATGAATATATGTTGATCTGGTGTTAAGATTTGTTGGTGTAAGACAACGGTAGCGAAATAGCGACAGAAGAGAGATTTTATCTTGTTAGTTGGTGATCCATCGGATATCACAAACTTCAGGCCATGGTCTTTTTTGAAATAATCTCTGCTTTCTCGATGACTGTAGCGATTGCTTTAGCCGTTCGTCGGCTCGGTTCATAGGATTAACACGCCTTCTTTGCTTGAGTGTAAGAAATCGAAGGCAAACTAGTGGACTCAAGTGTTTTAGCCATTGCCTCGAGTTAAGTACAGCTGTCACATTTGATTAGTCCCAAATTGAAGCTGTGACATGAAAGAACATTTCGCTGGATAATGCGTTGATTTTTTGCAAGGGGGCGTGCGCTCTTGTCGTCATCAACTTTAAACGTAATGCGATGCCGATGTTATGGGGTTAAAATTGTCGACATCCGTTGTCATAGTCATCTGAAGTTAGCATGACCTTGAACAGATATTTGATATCTGACCGTTAGAAATGATATTTCAGATTGGTTGATTGATTGATATACACCCAAACGTTGTAAAGCTTGAATTGCGTTAAAAAAATAATTCCTGCCACACCGTGCTCTATGCCGTAGTGGTTGAACCACGTCATTCATTGGGTGATGTAAAGGCCTTAGAGATTTCACAGTGACGTAGGTTCGTTGAAATGCCGGAAAAAGTTTATATGGTAAACAGTATACCGTATCTTATATCTCGTAAGAGAGACTTGGTAAGGTAACGTGTGACATTCAGAGCGTCGGGAACGGGATAAAAATCGAGCGTACGCAAACGACGATCAGGGTGCATATGCACTTAAATATGGTTCGTTCTACGTTAGAAGATAACAAAAATTACCGTTAAACGAAATTACATTAAAATTTGGTGTGTATATATATGTATATGTGTGTGTGTGTTACGAACGAAATTAGATTAAAATTTGGTGTATATATATGTGTGTGTGTGTGTGTTACAAGAAGAATATATATATATATATTACAATAAGAACCG